CATACATACATACATACATACATACATACATACATACATACACACATACATACATACATATATACACACATATATACACATACATACATAAATATATATATGCATACGAGGGCCGTGTGATCACTTCATTGTGTGGCTTCAAATATCTTTGCGTCCAAGAGCCCGGTCTCCTTGCATGATCAAATTCTAGCAAAAACTCTTGCTCTTGAAACTCCCGTTTCATTTAACTCCTAGCAAATCTGCCACTACGGATGATGTTAACGACGATGAAAATGCGTAGAAGAACAGCAGATGACACAAAGATGAAGGAATGAATGTGATCCACCTGGCATTTCTCTTCGGAAGGCCCAAGCAACAAAGCAAAGAATCGAATATCAGGATCTTCAGAAGGCCTACGATTAGGAGATGCAACAATTCGTTGAAGCAGTTAAGAACTGAAAAGAAATGGCCCTCAGTCTTGCGAGGCTTCCTATCGTTCTCGCAGTGACGGTGGCAAGGGAACAAGTAAGGAGGAAAACGGCATCAAAAATCTCGCAGTATTGAGACCGACAAACTGTTATTTAAATGTAGGTACCTCATTCTAGCAACGATCAAGCAGTGTGGATCATCTGCTGCTCGGAACTAACAGGACGAAAATGGACATTACAGTATCAGGTCGATGAAAAAAACCGATGACCGAGACGAAATGAATAAAAACTGTCAGGCTGAACTGCTAGCGCAGAAAAGTAGAACAATGAGAGTATAACTGTATAAACCATCAAGTATGTAAGTATATATATGTACGGCAGGGCAGTCCCTCTTCGACGCGATTTTAAGCGACAAAATCAAAGATTTACTTTTATTCGGACGCCATGATGTACGATCGTTGCTAGCCTAGAAGAATCGCTGAGTGAGTCGGGGGCAGTCGCTGGCTGGTCGAGAAATCGCTGACATCGATCGGGAATCGCTAGTAGCGAATGTATTGAACAGGCGCTGGCCGGAGAAGTCGATCTTCCGCTGATCGATGGTCAGGTAATGGACGATGGCGTAGCGGCCGTTTTTTTATGTCACTTTTGAAGAATCGATTCCCACAGTGGATTGTTGGTGAGTAATGATGAAGGAAAAGTTTCGAAATAGAGGGGCTGACTTTCCACTGAACAGTTTTATAATCACTGGCAGATCCAGACAGGACCTCCCCCTTTCCTCTCTCTCAGGGGCTTAGGTAGC